CCAGGTCAGGACGGCAATAAAAACAGAAGTTGCTGGAAAAGCTCAGTGGGTCTGGCAGCATCTGTGAAGAGAAACCATTTCGGGTCAAGTGACCCTTCCTCAGAATGGCAGTTCTGAGGAAGGCTCACCGGACCTGTAACGTTAACTCTGATTTTTTCCTTCACAGATGCTGCCAGACCTGCTGAGCTTTTCCAGCAGCTTCTGTTTTTGTTTCTGATTTATGGCGTCCACAGTTCTTTTGGTTTTTATCAGATAAAGACGGCAGGTCCTTCCCTAAAGAGCATCAGATGGGTTTTTATGATCATTGACAACGGTCACCATTAGGTTGGCTTTAATCCCGTTAATTGAAAATTTTAAAAATTGTGTTTTTTTTTTTTAAATTGGTGGGATTTGAGCTCACATCCACAGAAAATTAGTCTAAATTACTAGTCCCGTGATATTATCATTATGCTGGCCTCTCCATTGGGGTGTGAGGGGAGAAGCGTTTGGGATTATCAGAATTTCTTCATATTATTACAGGGTTTCTTAAACAAAAAGTGGTTGAAAACCACTGGTCATACAAAGTATGAAAATGTTTTTAAGGAAAATAAAGTTCATGTCCATTTGTACCACTAGTTCAGTTGTACTTACACACACCTGAATAGGAGAAAGTACTTTGAGAAGTGATTAGCCTACTCTAGTAGAATTTATTTTTAGAACAACCAAGTTCCCCTCCAAGCCACTCGCCATCCTGACTTGGAAATGTATCGCTGTTCCTTCCATGTCACTGGGTCAAAATCCTGGAATTCCCTCCCTCTTGGCATTGTGGGTCAACCCACAGCAGGTAGAGAGGAGCAATTCAAGAAATTCACCATCACCTTCTCAAGGGGCAAATAGGGATAGACAATAAATGCTGGCCCAGCCAGCGACATCCACACCTCATGAGTGAATTTAAAAAAATCGATCTTAGTATCAGTTTTTTTAAATCCTCTGAATACACGCCAACAGCAAGCCGCAAGAGTGGGAGAGGTTCCTAGTCAATCATGTGATGGAAAGGAAGTTGGAGTCTCTACCATCAGTATCCACAGCTCTTGATTACAATTTAGTTATAAACATTGCACCTTGCTACAGCAATACCTTATGTGAACTGTAACACACCAAACTCCTATTTACCACTTGACTTGATACCTATCAACGGAAGCATTTTCTTTCTTTATTCACCACGGGATGAGGGCATCGCTGGCTAGGCCAGCATTTATTGCCCACCCCTAATTGCCCAGAGGACAGTTCAGAGTCAACCACATTGCTGTGGGTCTGGAGTCACATGTAGACCAGACCAGGTATGGATGGCAGTTTCCTTCCCTAAAGGGCATTAGTGAACCAGATGTTCTTTTTCCTGATAATCGACAATGGATTCATGGTCATCATCAGACTCTTAATCCCAGATTTTTCCTTATTGAATTCAAATTCCACCATCTGCTGTGGTGAGATTCGAACCTGGGTTGCCAGAACATTATCTGGATTAACAGTCCAGCGATAATACCATTTGATTCCAATCCATGACAGTCTCCAGCACGTACCTCAGTACGGTGCAGGATATATTTAGAGGGTTGAACCGTTTTTGAGGACTGCATAGTTCCCTGACCCCTGTCTGCTTGGAGTAAAACCCCCTGGTGTTAAAAGTTCTGTAAATGACTTCAGTGTATTCACAGGGGCAAGCTGGGTAGTTTCTAGATTGGACAGAGAGCATTGATCTGGAGTACTCTACTGAACCTCACCGAGAACCTTTTTTTTAAACCAACAATCACTGGGCATTGCACCTGTACAGTGTTGGTTGAAATGCTATGCGTCTAGCTCCTCAGCTATTGCAGCTAAGGGCTGGTCAACAATGCTTGAGATCTTGAAACCTTCTGTTTACATGAAAGCCCGTACGTGGTAACTATTACTGAGGCTGATGCATAGACGGGGGTTGAGGTATGGATCAGGCATAATCTATCTGACCAGCCTCCGAGTTAAAGGCCAATGTTTCATGTGTGTTTGTGTTTCCTCAGTGGCCAGGCATTGTACTTAGTTGTAAATAACTCACTTGCAAATGAGCTGCCTTTCCTGTTTATTGGGCCACCTTGTTTACATTGTAATTTGTGTATATGAAAATGGCATCACTGTTATGAAATATAATAATTCATATTTATTTCCATGTGGAGCTATTTATTTGTGATAAGTTATAATGCAGAGAGGTGGTGATGTAGGGATAATGCCACTGGACTAATAATCCAGAACCCAAGCATTCTGAGGACATACACTCAAATCCCCCCCCGACAGATGGTGAAATTTGGATTCAATGTTTTTAGAAATAAAATCTGGAATAAAAAAATTCTAATTGTGACCATGTAGTATTTGTTGATTGTTGTAAGAACTCATCTAGTTCACTAATATCATTAGAATCATAGAATTGTACAGCATGGAAACAGACCCGTCGGTCCATCTCATTCATGTCGACCAGATATCCAACATTAATCTAGTCCCATTTGGCCCATATGCCTCTAAACCCTTCCTATTCATGTACCCATCCAAATGCCTTTTAAATGTTGTAATTGTGCCAGCCTCCACCACTTCCTCTGGCAGCTCATTGCATACACACACCATGCTCTGCGTGAAAAAGTTGCCCCTTAGTCCCTTTTAAATCTTTCTCCTCTCACCTTAAACCTATGCCCTCCTAGTTTTGGACTCTCCTACCCTGGGGAAAAGATCTTGACCATTCATCATCCTACCCTTGCCCCTCATGATTTTAATAAACTGCTATAAGGTTACCCCTCAGCCTCTGATGTTCCAGGGAAAATAGCCCCAGTCTATTCAGCCTCTGCCTATGGCTCAAACCCTCCAACCCTGGCAACATCCTTGTAAATCTTTTCTGAACCCTTTCAAGTTTAACAACATCCCTCCTATAGCAGGGAGACTGGAATTGAACGCCGTATTCCAAAAGTATTCTGTTCCTAACCAATGTCCTGTGCAGCTGCAAATGAAAAAAAATCTGGATTAAAAAGATATTCTAATAGTGACTATATAGCATTTGTCAGTAGTTGTAAAAACCCATCTAGTTCACTAATGTCCTTTTGGGGATTCTAGAACTAAAGGGTATAGTCTGAAAACTGGACGATTCAGGATGGATGTTAGGAAATACAACCACACGCAAAGGGTGGTGGATGTTTGGAACTCTCTTCCATAAATGGCAGTTGATGCAGGATCAGCTGTGAATTTTAAATTTGAGATAGAAATGTTTTTATTAAGCAAAGGTATTAAGGGATATGGGCCAAAGGTAGGTGTATAGAGTTAGTCTATAGAACAGCTATGTTTCTAGTTCCTTTCAGAGAGGAAAATCAACCATCCTTCCCTGGTCTGGCCTACATGGGACACAAGGTCCACATGGGATTCCAGACCCAGAGCAATGTGGTTGACTGTTAACTGCCCTCCGGGCAATTAGGGATGGGCAATAAATGCTGGTGTAGCCAGCAACACCTGTATCCCATGAATGAATGATAAAAATGAAGGTTATTATAATAATTAATATCACAAGCCTATGTGGCATAGCACCTCAATGCACTTGCTCTAATAGATCTGTTTGGATGAGTTTATTGCCAGCATTTCAACTCTGGATTCAGTCACACTGACCTCCTGAGATTAGCTAATAACAGATCTGCATTTGCACAAGTGGAGTTATTGTTAGTGTACTATTTTAGAGTGCGGTAGAAGTAGTACAGACCTCTGAAGTTCTAGTAATTAAGATCACTTAACATTTTGAGAATTTGTCCTAAATAGTTAATTCAAATAAACAGGTATAGACCGTGCCTCAAAATAGGAGACTAGAAAAAGTCTGAAAGAAACCAGATTTTATTCTGACTTATTGCACATCCCTGATTTTAACCATTTGACCATTGCTGTTCCCCTGCCACTGAAGCCTTTAGGCTCTGGAATTCCCTCCCTCATTCTTGTGCCCTCCCTGACACCCTCTCCTCTGTTTTTGAGGATGCTGTTGTTTGTGACTGTGACAATACTATAGTTTAAGAGGTGTACTTTATTGTTTATTCTTGAAGAACAGTTTTAAGCCAGAAGTGATGAGCGGTCTCTGCTGCACCACTAGAATAAACAGTATGTGAGGCCTTGGTTTTATTTTTAAGTTGGAACAATAAAAGCTGCCTGAATGAGTCTGGTCAAGCTCTCAGAACCAGGATTTTTAGTTTCTTAGCTTTTCAGTAGCAGTTGCTGGGTCTGTTGCTGCAGTACATCTCTCCCTGCCACACCCAGTCTCAGAGTCTTCTCTTGAGTTTCTTTCCTCCTGGGCTGCTGGAGTTGCATGAGAGATGATCTATTTTCTGAACTTGCCTTTTGCCAAGGGTGCATAAATGCAGCCCCCTCCACACTTCACGTCAGCTCTGATGAAGAGTCATCTAGACTCGAAACATTAGCTTGCTTTCTCTCCATGGATGCTGCCTGACCTGCTGTCATCTCTAGCATTTTTTGTTTTCAGTACAGATTCCAGCATCTGCAGTAATTTGCTCCTACATTGTGTTTGTGGGATGTTACTATATTGGAACAGTTAGTTAATAATAATTAGTGTATCTGTTATTTTGTTAAGCACTTTGATAGAGTTACGGCTAAGCTAATTATTTTCTTTATTTTTTCTTTAGTTGTATTTTAACTTTAAGCAAAAGACAACTTATTCATACACTAATGTCAAGTAGTTTGACTAATCGAATTGCATCTGGAAAGCAACACCTTATGTTTACCTTTAAAATAAGAAAAATTTAGGGTGTGGGTTATCTTAATATATTTTGAGGGGGTTTGGTCTCGTCCATAACAGTGACCAAGGTTTTGTTTACCCTTCCTAACGTCTCTCCTTATGTGGCTGAGTGTCAAATTTTGTTTGATGCTTCTGTGAAGAGGCTGGTGAGGATTTTTTTTTCCTCTTTTTATTACGACTACCTGAATGCAGTTTGCTTGTAACCTCGCCCTCTCTTTTGCAGATGGTCACGTCACCCCTTTGGTAGAACTGTCAGCCAAGCAGGTAGCTCTTCACATTCCCTTCGAAGTTGTCGAAAAGGTTTACCCACCAGTGCCCGAGCAACTCCAGCTACGCATCGCCTTCTGGAGCTTCCCAGAAAACGAAGAAGATATCAGGTGAGAAAAGTAGAGACGGCACAGGTGTCTCGCAGCAGGTCCCCTGTGCAGTCAATTTGTGGCAACAATGTGGAACCTTTAAGGGGAGGCGATGGCCAGACTATTAATCCAGAGCAATGTTCTGGGGGCCTGTGTTTGAAGCCTGCCGTTAGAATTTTAATGCAATAAAAAAAATCAGGAAAGAAATGTCTAATGATGACCGTGAAACCATTGCCGATTTCCAGGGGGGAAATCCCCACCTGGATCACTGATGTCCTTCAGGGGAAGAAAGTGCAGTCCTTATCTTGTCCGACCTATATGTGACTCCCAACCTGCAGCAATGTGGTTGACCCACTTAAGTGCTTTTTGGGTAATAAATGCTGGTCTGGTCAGTGATACTCTCATCTGGTGAATGAATTTAAAAAAAAAACTTTCCATAATTCAAACCTGCTACTTCAGTCAATCTTTTAGTCATCTGTCTTAAGATTTCCTGATATACCTTGCTGATGAAGTTTGTTAATTTACAGGTGCTATATAAAGGCAAGTTATTGCTGTTGTATATGAACAATTACATGGTCATGCGGGGAACAGCATTTATTTTAGAAAGAACCTATCGATGGGATGTGGGAGAGAGATAGTAGGAACTGCAGATGCTGGAGAATCTGAGATAACAAGATGTAGAGCTGGATGAACACAGCAGGCCAAGCAGTATCAGAGGAACAGAAAAGCTGACGTATCGGGCCTACACCCTTCTTCAGAAATGGGGAGGGGATTCTGAAATAAATAGGGAGAGAGGGGGAGGCGGATAGAGGAGAGGATAGGTGGAGAGGAAATAGACAGGTCAAAGAGGCGGGGATGGAGCCAGTAAAGGTGAGTGTAGGTGGGGAGTTAACCTTCGAATCCAACGCATTATCCTCCGACACTTCCGCCATCTGCAATCCGACCCCACCACCAAAGACATCTTTCCCTCCCCACCCTTATCTGCTTTCCGGAGGGACAACTCTCTCCGTGACTCCCTTGTCCGCTCCACACTCCCCTCCAGCTCCACCACACCCGGCACTTTTCCCTGCAAC